AGTCGTTACCCTGTTTCAACTACGGGCCAATACCTGCGCTTCAACCCTTCAACGATAGACTAGACCGACCGACTGTCTCCGCCCCTCACCCGCCACTTTTCGTGGCGTGGACTATAACATTGTTTTTTTGACTTAATGGAGGCAAAGGAACATAATTTGAAATGTGTCATGCATCTGGTGTCATTCTGTAGATTTACTCATTGATTAACTAGGTGAATAAATTTTACAAATCTCTTAATTTCCTAATTTCCACAATCCTTTCCTGTCTGTTCCAGTTAGAAGATGACGTGACAGGCTATCACAGCTTCATCACTGCTGTAAGATTGGGCTGCCCACCTCCATGCAAACCTAAACTTAAGAAAGGCATTCTCCCAACAAAATTCGGTCAAGATGAGGCAAATTTGTCATCAAGCACTATTTCACTAACAGCCTCAAGTATCAAAACTGAAACGTCTCCTTCGAATTTTCAGGACCCTTCTCCCTACAACGATGCATTCCTCTCACCCCTGGCTGACGCATTAGATCATCGCTTAAATCCGGAGATTGAGTCACCCTCTTCCCTAATGAACATTTCGCCTATTCAACTTACATCCAGCAACAATGTAATGAGTGGGTTATCTTTTGAATCCTGCAACGAGATTTATCCTACAAATGAGGCGACTCCTTCAAGCCATACATCAACGGAAACTCACTACTTTACACCTTCAAACACAACTGTAAGTAACCTAGAACAAGAGCAGCTCTTAAACAGTATGTAAGATTTTGGTGTTTGTTTATTTATTTAGTTATTTTATTATTACAAAACAAAATTACAATAATAATCACACTTAAACTAGCAAGATCCTCCAGTAAGCAATCCTGCTTTTGTGGAGGGCTGCATACAAAAAATAACAACACAGAGGAACTGACAAAATATTTAACATGAGGTAGCCCTGCCTGGTGGGTAAACTAAACAGTCTATAAAGTATCAGTAAAATAAATGAAGAAAAATCAAATTGAATCTGCTAGATGCAAAAGAAATTTAAGAGAAAAAAATGCACAGATGATGTGTAGGTCACCAAGGTGAAGCTATAGGAGAAAACATTTGGGAACCAGTGTACAATGACAGCATTTCACAATAACAATGGGCCTGTTGCAAACTTTTGCTAGAGCAAAAATAAGAGTTGTTTCTTAGAGA